AGTCACCATCCCTGGAAGTATTTAAAAGATGTGTAGATTTAGGGACATGGTTTAGTGGGCATTGTGGTGTTGGGTTGACGGTTGGACTTGATGATCTTAGAGGTCTTTTCCAACCTTAATGATTCTATGATTCTATGATTCTATGATTCTCCTTGCTCCTCTCCTGGGGTGTTTTCCAGTGTGAGTCAGAGTACCCTCACTCGCTCTTGCCAGGTTATTTTGTGTTTAATCTGCCAGGACGTGGTCCAGGCTTGCAAAGCTACCTCCTCCTGCCCGGAGGCGGGACTGTTGTCTGGATCCAGCGATTGGCGTTCACCCGCAACCACCAGTGGAAGAGGAGTTAGTCGCGCCGAAGGCTGGGAAGACCCGTGCTGGGGTTGGGTGCTCTTCTCCAGCTGTGTGGCAGCCGTGCTCGGATGTCCTCATTGTTGTTCGCTTCTTAGCAGCCAGTTTTTGTTCACATTTTCTCCCCGCTCTCTGCTGACCTTTCTCTTCTCTCTGTGTTTTTTCCTCAGGTCGAAAGCTGAGGGGAAAAGCCTTTTATTTTGTCAATGGCAAGGTGTTCTGTGAAGAAGATTTCCTGGTAAGCACACAGCTGATCCTCGTGCTGGCACGTCTCAGCTTCTCTGGCAGACGCGCAGCCTTTCTGCCTAGCAGCTTTGCCCAGGTTTCACACGGCTCTAGTCCAGCATCCTGCCTGGCCCTTCTGCTCCCCCTGTACCCGGGGCCAGCCCCAGCCATGGTGGCCGCTCACATGTGGTGCTGGAAGTAGCCGAGTGAAAGACCACGGTTTTGCAGTGCAGAGCCTGTAGTTGAAGCCGTAGCCTCTTGCGATGGCTCCTTCAAAGCATATTTCTGTGGCCACGCTGTGGAGACAGGAGTGAGATGAATGGCTACAGAAGAATCAATGAGTGAATTTCCCTTTCCAATGAACTGTTTTTGCTTGGGCGTCTTAATGGATATCTTTCTGTTGCCCTCAATGGATTTTGTGTGAACATACCTGAGCATGAAGCAACCCCATGGTCCTCTCCTTGGCTGGTGGAGGTAGAAAGCCATGTACCCCCGTGCCCTCAAGCCCTCATAGATTAAACCTTCATTGAGACTTGAAAAAGTCATATTTGCCTATTTATTGGGGAAGTCCGGTGATTTCTGTCAGAGAGAAGTGAGTTAATCTTCTTTGCTCTTATCAGGATATTCTACACAGGCTGAAAATGGAAAGATTGGTTAAATGCATCTAAAATATTTCATTTTTCCAGTTTGCATTTCCACCATTCAGACACACTGAAACCTTAGACAGATGATGTGTTGTGCCTGAGGTGCATGTCGTGGACATGACAGGCAGTTCCTTACCTTTAGATCTTAGCAATAGCAGCAAGAAAGGTGCTCTGGGCCAAACTTGAATGTTATGCTACCAGAGAGCTGGGACGACACCACTGATCTCGGAGAGGGTCCAGTAGACTATAATGGTGTAACCAAAGGAAGAATTTGGCTTTCTGGTGTTGTGATGTGAATTTGTGATAAACACAAGTAAGTTCCTGGCGTCTAGATTCACATGGTCAAATAAGAATGTAAGTCTTATTAGTAAATGCCTTATTTGCATAGGCATTTATGGTATTTACTTATATACTTAATTAAAGTTAAATTTAGGACTTGAAAGTTACAGGAACTCATACTCCTTCTGAACGGTGGAAGTCTGATGTCTTTATAGAATATCCTCTGGGGACCCATCCACATATACTGAAAAAAGCACTGGAAAGTTTAGCTTGTGTAAGGAGTACAGGAAAAGGCCAAGCAAATAACGCTGCATGATATGCTGTTGTTTATGCTCGACTAGCCTTGTGAAATTTTAAGCCAATTCTTCTTTGTCCTTGCAGTATTCTGGTTTCCAGCAGTCAGCTGACAGGTGTTTCATTTGTGGTCATTTGATAATGGACATGGTAAGTGATAATTGCTTTAGGAGAAAAAATCCCACAGCTTTTTAGAAGAATGCGTCAAAAGCAAAATATGCTAATATCCAGTACTGTCTGTTAGCATCTGGTAGTCTGCCTAGTGTGAGATTCATAGCAGAAAGAAAATCCATGTTGATTTTTGCAAGGAAGTGAAGCTGGCACCCTGCTGTATGCGATGCACAGACGTTGCTCTGCCTGTTTTCAGTGCAAATTGAAAATCAGAGCCTTCAGCTCTTTCATCCCCTTTTGGACTTCCCTGGACAATGTATTCATAATCCTCTCGATGCTTCGTGCTCAGAAGTGCCGTGGCTCTGCAGTGCTCCCTTGCTGTGGGGCATCAGTGCGGCTCTGCTGAGCCCGTCTTTCCTGTAGTCAAGCCGTGGCTCCCCATGTACCTTCAGGGTGAAGCTGCTGTCTTGTTACTGCTTGTGGTGGGTGCTGGAAGGTGTTGGGCTGGTACCTTGGGGAATAGGTTCGACCCAGAGTATGTGATCCAGACCTGAGTTAAGATCTGTCCAAGTCCTTGAAAACTGTTCAGTAGATGTGTGGACAGCCTGCTGAAGCAGGCAGTTCTCATTAGCCTGCAGCAAGTACCATCCGTTCAAGATTTGCATCGGGTGGGTCACGGCTCGGGGGGTCAGCTGGCCTTCAGCCAGCACCGGGCAGCATTCGGTTGTGGGTGATTCAGAGGGAGACAAATTCATGGTCATGTAGCTGGTGAGCTATGTCTGAGGCAAAGAAATTAGGAATTTCGAGTGGTTAGTTCACAGCCTCCCAAGATTTTCTAATGCTTATCGTTAATTATCTTTGCCTGCTTATACTGGAAAGCATTAAAATTGGAAAAGCTATTTTATAATCAGAAGTGGTATTCCAGGTAGTAATTGCTGCCCCAAAGCCAGCAGGTGAATTGCAGCTTTTGAGTTCAATACAGTTGCCATAGTCTGTGTTAATTAGAAAGCCAGGCTAGCGAGTACAAAGCTCTTGGATATCTAAGGCGTTATAAAAAGCTAGCAATAGTATTGGTTTCAGCCTCTCATGGAGAATACAAAGATGTATTTCCTTTTGTTGGCCTGGTACGTCTTGCCTTGTGATCCTGCTAAGTATTCTCCAATTGTTGGCTTCAGAAATTATTTTCTTTCTTTTAAATTCTGTCAGTTCTATCCTTTGTAATGCTAAATACCTTGACTGAGACTCTAAATTGTTTTCTTACCCATGCTAATAATTAATTTCCCTGGAACCAGGTGATATGTATTGATTCCAGCTGCCCTTTCCATCCCTGTTAACTCATTTTTCAGATGAGGTGCCTAAAAAAACCCACAGCCCTGCTGATGAATATGCAGCATTGTCTGATGTAAAGCTGTGTGTTTATTATTTTCACCTTTATTGGCTGTTCACATGCTTTTTTCCTGTCTCTTCGTTTGTTGCAGATCCTGCAGGCTCTAGGGAAATCATATCATCCAGGCTGCTTCCGATGCGTGGTCTGCAACGAGTGTCTGGATGGTGTGCCATTCACTGTAGACTCTGAAAACAAAATCTACTGTGTCAGAGATTACCACAAGTAAGGACAAAATAAACAGCAGAGATGCTCCAATCAACAAGCCTCTAATTTAGCTTTTCAGCTAATTAGGAAGCATGGATTAGTAAAATAGGGACGGGATTAGAAGGTAGAAGTTTGAGGATGGGTCTAGACCCTAGAAATTCCTGATGTCTCTCCTCTTGCCCTGCCATCAACTTTCTGTGTAACTCTGAGGAAGTCACTTAACCCCTGGGCTTCAGCTGCCCCTTCTGCAAAGCAGAGATAGTGAGAAATAGTGCTCGTGAAGCATTCAGTGATGTAAGAAATCAGTCCACTTTAAAGTAAGACTGTGAACGCCTGTTGAAATCAACATGAGTTGCTTTTTGAGTAGTTGCAGGCCTGAGCTTGACTTTTAAAGAATGCTTTTAAAAATCGAAGTGAAACTTTTATCCAGCTCTAAATTAAACAACCGATAAATCCACTTAAAAAAAACCACTTGTCATTTAGTAAAATAAAATGGCTGTGCTCTTAGCTGGTAGTTACGATATTAAAGATGCATACATTTTGAGTGTCCGTTTGGCTCGCTTTGCTCCTTGCTCCATTTTCTGAGCAGGCAGAGTATTAAGTGTTGCTCAGGCAGTCCCGGGAACTGTTCTGTATTGTGGCAAGATTAGAGTTGCCTCCATGTGCCACTGTTGTTCTGAAATGATGCACCTTTCCTTGCTATTTCATTGAATTATTTTCTCATCGTGTTACATTGTGTTATAAGGCCTTAAGGAACCTGACGGTGCCATGGTGTTTTCTCTGAGGTTTCCTGCCCCGATGTAAGGCTGCCACTTCTTTTAATGTGTTTTTCTGGGGACGGTCCTGCTCAGTTTCTCCTCATTCTCTCTTCCAACTCTGTTAGTAGCAGCCAAGAATTCTACAGTGGGTTTGTTTTTCTTTCTGGCACTAAATGTAAAATGCGAGGTCTCTTTTTGCCTGACTGAGCAATGTGTGCCAAGCATTACTTAAAATCAATCCGAAAATAAATTTATGGTCTTGGGATGTAAAGCTTTCCTGTAGATAAGTTATTTACAGCTTCAGCTTTTTGTCTTATTGCTGAGAACATACAGGCCTCTCTTTTTACGTTGATCTATAACTTGCCTTCACTTTCTCGTTGCTCTTCCAGAGTTTTAGCTCCAAAGTGTGCAGCGTGTGGGCTTCCCATTCTGCCCTCTGAGGTGAGAGCCTTTTACTTCGTATCCTCTTTGGGGAGAGAGCATCATGTCTCAGGCTTTGCTCTCTTTCACACTTGACCCTATGTCAAGATGAATGTCCTTGGGGATGGGGAGAGATGATCGCTTCCTCCAGCATGCAACCTTTTGACCTAGGCTCATACACTGCCCTTGAGATGTGACCCTTCTTTTGCTCGATAATGAAGCTTATGTCTGCTGAGCCAGGCTGCTTTTTTCATCTCCTGCAGGATTATACTGCTGTTAGTTTTATGTTCGGGATACCTTTTCATTATGTCAATAAATGCTGGTGGTGCTCATGAATGACCTCTGTGTGACCCCTCCAGAATGAACTCCTTTTAATACTCGGAGGAGATGAATCTTGGGCAAAACCAATTTAAAATGCTGAGAAGTGTGATATATTGAAGTTACCAAATCATTAATGCCTGATTTGGGATAGATGTGACTGTTAAACAGAGAGAATTAACATTTCTGATGTTACATTTTAGACGATATCTGCAGTTGATGATGAAGCTTTACTGTAAAAATAACTGCTGTTGGCAGGATTTATTTGTGGTGTTCATCCAGCAGCTCAAATGCATTTTTTCAACATTCACATTGTTGCAGGAAGCAATCTATAGAGTGCATGTGTCTGATCCTGCTGTAATCCTTTGTAATTTCTCTTTTGCTTGAACGCTTACAGGGGTCTGATGAGACCATTCGGGTTGTGTCCATGGACAAGGATTACCACGTGGAATGTTATCACTGCGAGGTAGGTCAGCAGCTTTCTCAGGGAGTGGGCACTTAATAGTGATAACTGCTATTATTTTTAAGATGGAAATAAATCTCCTCCCTTCCAATGGCAGTAGGTGAGCAATTCAAACATTGCATGATGTGACCCTTTCTATCAGTGGCTAAGAAATTTCCAGTTTGAGGACAAAAGTTTTTGCAGCAATGTGTCTCAGCTGCGATTTCATTTGCTATCCATAAAATTATGGACAAAGAGTTAATTATCACTTTTAAACTTGGCAGTTTACTTGTTAATGAAGGAAACGTGGCGACTTAGTAAGGTTCTACTGCTGCCTTTCAAAAGCCTTGAGCTCCAGATCACGTTAGTGTATCTGATTTCCAGGTCAGATTGTTCAAAAATGCTAAGGTGATGACTGATCCTGTCTGGTGTAAGTTACCTTCACTCTCATGGGAAATGCATGTGTCATTGGGGCTGGAGAAAGGATACGGCTGCACAAAAAAATCTCAAGAGATGCCAGCTCTTAAACACCGTTTGGTCTCCGCGCAGGGCTTCCAAGAGAGCCTTCATACTTCTGCTCTGTGAATTAAAGTAAATAGATGTCTTCTCTCACTGTGCTCGTGTGCAGGGGAAAGAGGCCCTGACTCAGCAGGCTGGTTTCGCATCAGTACAACTGCAATTAACGTAATGTGAAGAGGTGAATCCTACCTCAGAGTGTAAGGAGACATGAGCGTGTTTAAAATACATAGGGTTGCACCTCTCCACGAGATAAAGCTTATTCAATAAAACTGCATAAGACAAACTTGTACAAGGCTGCCCCACAAAATGCCTACATCAGATGCTTTCCTTCTCGTGGCAAATGTTGGCCTTACTAGGAAGGAGCTGTTGGCTGGGTGTCTTCTGTCGTTGTCACAAAATCACCCTCCTGGAAGCCGTACCCCGCTTCCACCAGACGGTGGAAGAGGAACACACGCTCTAATAATTTGCATGGCCTCTCTTTGCAGGACTGCGGGATGGAACTGAACGACGAAGATGGGCATCGCTGTTACCCGCTAGATGAACATTTGCTTTGTCACTCCTGTCATCTGAAACACATAGAGAACGGCACTACCCCAGCAGCTGTGTACCAGCACCACTACTAGCCAGCGTGGCCAACACGGGAAAGCCTGGACAGAAGACTTGTTACGTGATCTCCCTCTCCCCACCCTCAGTTGATTTCCTGTGCATGTTTTTCGCCAGTCGGCAACGTTCCTGTAAAAGGATATGAGAGATTTTTGCTGGATTCCCAGAGTATGTATGCTTCTGAGTTCCAGCTGTATCAAACCATGTCTACTTGACCAAGAATGTGGCATGTTATCTAAACTGATCAGTTTACTTTTACGTGCCTTTTTCTGCTCTCTGGAGATTCTTCTTGGCTCATTTTGGAAGATTCTTCAGTGAAAGCACAACTTGCTGTCGTGCCTATGAACTCAGATCATGCCATGCACAATTAAAAAGCCAGAGGCTGGCTTGCCTGCCTGCCTGCCTGCCGGCCGGGGACATCCCATCAGTCTACTAAGTGTTTCCTGACAAGCACATTTCTTCAGATTCCCTGAAGAACATCAACCTATTAATACCAGTTTTTAGACACTCTCTCTCTTTTTATTACTTCTTTAGGAAAAGAAAAGAACGGGGTCTGTGCAAAATGGCACGCTCAGACCTTCCAGTTAATTCCCCGAACTCCGGTATCAAGTCTGGCTGTAAAAGCACCAACTCTCCAAGCACAAACCAGGCGTGCTGCCTGGCAGGTGGAGGCCGACATCCCGTTTCAAACAGAACAAAAAACTGGAACAAGCTAGGCTAAGCTACCACAGTGACTTGGGGCCCGGGTTTGCGTGTCAGTGTGATATGTAGGGATCAGTCTGCTGTGTCAGAGTCTGAATAGCGGATTATATTTGGAAAGGAAAGGTCGGGATGCTGAAAGTGTGGACACTGGGGAAATCCAACCTCGTTCTTGCTTGCAGAGCTTGCTTTGGAAAAAAGTTCTCCGTACACAGACACTTGCCTGAGATTTTCAGCGTGTCCCCACAGCTAAGCCCCCAGCCTGGCCCCTCCTTTCCGTGGTGTTTACCCAGCACAAAGCTATTTCATAATGGTGCTTATTTAGAGCTCTGGGAACAAACTCGAGATCGTTATGAAGGCTTTGTTATACAGGGATTTAGAGCCCAGCTCCACAACCTGTAAATGAGTATGTTGGTATAAACAGATTTGCTCCCATGAATAATAACAGCTTATCTGTGCAAGGGTTTAGTGAGTTTGGCCCTTGCTTTCTATTCTGCTGAGAAAGCAGAAAGGCAGATTGTTTCTCTTTTTGAACCCCCCTGCTTTATAGTCAAATTAATCTGCTCCCCCGGTATGTGTTACATGTAAGATAGATGTGCCTGCAGTGCATGTTCTGTGGGTACCAAAGGTGTGCAGCCTCTCGTGTACAGGTACAAAGTTTTTGTTTAAGAAAAAGCTTTTAATTTAAAGTCTCGGATGCAATCAGGGATCTTAGCTACCCTTTCCGACATACTGTGTGGAAAAATAGTTAAATCCTAATGTATCCATGCTAAAGATGTAAATTCAGTTACGATGGATAGAGGACAGGATGACATTCTTGAAGATCTTTTTAGTGAGGAAACTGCAACAAATTAGCTGAGCAGTGGCACCGGGACTCCCGACGTGAGCCTGCACCAAGAACCCACTGTGGTTCAACCAAACCTCTTTTCCCGTAGCATGAATGTAGCTAGATAGGTGCTTGAACTTCACACCATGTAGGCAGACTGCCTCCTGTACCCATCTGGAGCAGCACAGGTGCCGGCTGCAGCAAGCTGCCTGTCTCTGCCAGTGCTAATAAATACCACAGGCCTCCATTTTGAGTGGTGCAAGTTGCTGTGCTAAGTATTAAGCAGAGGCACAAGCATCTGCTGTAAAACAGATGAAGACCACTGGCCTGTTAGCACTCTCCTACACGTCTGTATCAGCTTGCCTCGGCTGAAGTGTGAACGTCTGAAACTGCCCAAGCCTCGGGAGCTTGGTGGTTTTGGAGTGGAGTTTCATCGGGCCGGCAGACCATCCAGACTTCTGGCCCATCCAGCTGTAAGTGCCTCCGCCTGTTGCTGCTGCTCTTTGGGATGGGGACGGTGGCATGTGGCTGGAGGTCGGTCCCACGCTGGAAATCATCCAGAGCCCCAGCTTTCGTGTAGCTTGGCTCTGCGGTGCCGTTTCTCCTGGGGACATGCAACCCCTCAGTGAGTGACCGAAATCTCAAGGGGGGGGACTTTCCCACTGCAGTATACATGGCTCTGGGGCACATATAGTTTGGAGGGTTTTATCTGTGATTTTAGAGGAGGTAAAATTGACCCCAAATATGTGAGTTCCCCGGAGCCTTGAATTTGGCCTCCAAATGCTGGATAGCGAAGGGATGGTTACCGACACAAAATGTACCTGGTGCTGTATCCAGGCAATAGGGATTGGGTGCAACAAAGGGATGGGAACTGACACAAAATATAACTGGTTCTGTATCCAGGCAATAGGGTTTGGGGGCAACAGAACACCCAGGGCAGATCCTGCGGTGCTCTCACCCTGGCGCGCCGTGTCAGCTTGTGTCCTGCAGCTTGTGTCCTGGGTGTGGGGGGTTGTCTCAAGATGCGACTGTGATCTTAGGACTGCCTGAAGGGACTGAGGTGGGAAATAACGCCAGCTGAGTGTCCCTGGTAAATAACCAGATAGTCCTGGGCAGGTGGCTCCCCTCTTTGAGCTTCCTTTGGCAGTGAAGGCAGTGAGATATCAAAGTGGCTTTTGGGAAGTGAGCTGGACACAGCAGCCCTGATCTGTTGTTCTGTCTCTGAGAGACCAGCTACGACATGGCTCATGCTTTTGCTAGCTCTTGATTTTTAGAGCAGCCCATCACGCACATTTTCTGGCCTCCATTTTGGGAAGATCTGAAAACACTAGCGGGGCTGATATTTTCTTTTTAAGCTGCAGTTTAAACTACTGTCTCACTCTTGCAGCCTTCTCCACAACCCCAAAATAAGCAGGCAAGAAGGGGAGGGGGAGAAAGATGATTTTCCTTTGTGGAAAGCCTCGAGCAGCCCATTTGTGGAGCCTCCTTTGCATCAACAGAAAGTTTGGCCTCTGCTCTGACTCCTGTCAGCCATCCCATATCCCTCAGCGCTGGGGAAATGAAGGCTGCCCTACTTTCAGTTTTGAGGTCCGGTATAAATTATTAAGTGCCAATGGTTTCCTTTCCTGTATTTATGAAGAGCTAGAAACGACAACGTGAAGCTATTGAAAACGGAGCGTGTGAGGTGGTGGTTTTGAAGCTAAAGTGTCTGGTGCATTGCCCTGCTCCCCTATGTGTGCTAACTTGCACCGCTTTTATCTTCGGGAGTTTGAATTCATTTACGCTCCTTATTATTCCTGCCTTTTCTCCTAAGCTGTGGGTGTCTGAGTCCGTGTTGATTGTCCCCAGCTTGTCCCCAGCTCTGCAGCTGCCTGATGATGGGTCTGGTGGGGAGGCAGGAGCATCCTGCACAGGGGAGGCTTCTCTGCCAGGCATCTGTGGAGCAGCAAGCCCTCACTGCCTGCCTTCAGGCAGCTCCCCCAAAGGGAAAAACGGGCAGGCAGGTAGCTCTGGAGCTGGAGGTGCGAGGCTTTGCGTGCTCTGCAGAAGAATTTCAGGAAATGTGGTGAATTGTGCCTGTCACCTGGCTGACACGCATTGGGTTTTGCTGTTCACGTGAACCTTGTTGTCTTTTTATTTATTAAGATGCTGAAACGTGGTATGAAAAGTTAGTCTTAATTCCTCCCCCAGCATGCTCTTCTGACTGGTTTTAGGGTAAGGGATCCTTGGAAGTCCCATTGTGCTGGTAATGAGTGACTCACATGCAAATAGTTATTCAAGTGAATTCCCTGAAACTTGCTTTCAGGAGCCAGAGCTTAATAGATTTTTTCGTTCAGACCATGCTGTTAAATTTCCATTGTTTAGAATACAGAAATTCATTTAAATAGGAAATTTTGCATAAAAGCCAGGGGAAAAGCCCCCGCTATAGAAGAAGCAGACGTTTTTGTGTAATTTAAAGTTTAAGAAACACCTGTGATCAAAGTGATTTAGGAAACTGCCCTGATGTTAAAAGCAGGGAACAGCATTTTCAAACACCCTAGTGAGGAGTGTTTGATGAGGTCTGTGCTCTTCAGTTTCTGAGTTTCATTTGGGGGCTTTTAAAATGTTTTCCCAGTCTTTCAGGGTTTAAATGATTTGTTTGTAGATCTTTTTACTACAAAGTGAATAGCTCCTTGGTCTGGAAATGGTGGAGTCTCATTAGCATCAGGTGTGCTATGGCAGATGTGAAAGGGGGAAACTGGGCTCATAAGAGCAGGTACGGGTCTGGCTGGCCGTTCAAAAGGAAGGGGTATCTTTGGCTGCCAAGAGAGGAAAGTGAATATCTTCCTGTGCTTTCTCCTTGTGCTGATTTCTAGCATTGGGCAAATATTTGGCATCCCTGAATTTCAGTGTTGGGGTCTGTTCGTAAGCACTGCTGCGACCTCCTCCCCTCCCTCCCGTGAGTTCGTAATCCTGGGGAGGATCACAGGCATGCTCTTCCTCATGAGTTTAGTCCCGATTCTGCACTTCGGTATTTCCCTGGAAATTTTACCGCTTCATTATTCAAGCAACAGCAAAAACGGGTCCTTGCTTAAAGGAAAATGGACACACGCTCCCCATCCTTACTTGAACAATTTGACCTGATCCTCCAAATTACCTGAATATCAGCCTGCTGCTGGTCGATGCAGTGGCAGCTTTGTACTCCGCTGCTGTTACTAAGAAAGTCACATGAAGGGCTCCATCTGCATTAAACTTGAAGTGCACAGGAAGGCAGTCCCACTGAAACCAGTAAGGCTGCGCACGTACATGAAAATCAATGTGTGTGCGTAGGTCAATGTTGGATCAAGGGCAGAGTGATTTTATTACAGACAAGACATACCTGGGGATGAATCTGCGGCAGTGTAAAAGTTGCCTTGAAAAGATCGCTGAAGTGGGCTGCCAACTTTTTTGTTCAATAAACAAAAATACGTACTGAAGTGGTGGGGGTGCACCGAGAAAGAAGGATGTGAGTTAAAAAATACAGTAGCGGTAGGGAAAAGAGGGCAGGTGATTACAAAGAGCAGGGGAGAAGGTGGCACGGAGGAGATTTGCTTTTGTTTGTCATATTCCTGGACATTTATTAGAGGGGATTTCGAGGGGAAGCGCACCTTCGTATGCTGGTCTGGGCCATGCTTCTTCCATGCCGGCCTTGGCTGCATGCTCTGTGTCCACTTTTGGGGTCATGTGCGCTGTCACGTCTGTGCACGTGGACATGCAGCACGTGCTGCCTGCAAGAGACCTGCCTTTCACACCTCTGTGCCCATGCCAAGGGTTTGTAGATGCATTTTGAGCAACCTTCTGTGCATGAATTTAAGGACAAGTTGACCCAGGCTTATTGCTGGAGAAACATCTCTGGAGTCAGTACCTGTGGGCAGGGAAGGGCTGCAGATACACATCCCTTTTCCCCCACCCACTGAGGCCAAGCGCCTGCGCCATTGGGAGAAGCTGGGATGGGGTTTGCCTCTCTCGTCGCGCTGCATTTGTGTGTTCATTTTTCTTTTCCGTTTCTGTGTCCTGTCG